ATGAGTGGGTTTTAAACTAAAACGCATGTGATGCATGATGCCTATTAGAGGAACTGTCATGGTCCTAGAATAGATTACACATGTAAATGTATATGTTTGCCTAAGGGAATGTGCCTAGGCTAGAGAACAAAAAAAAATGTATGTGATTTTGTGTTGTGATAGTGTGCCTTAAAACAAGCCACATAGGGGCTTAAGTTGTGTGAGCCTAGACTAGGAAGTCTAGAAGATATGATGAACGTCTAGGAGTAGATTACCCTTAACAATTGACCTCTTCATGGATTATGAGCATTTGATGTCTTAGAGATTTAGTGGCACTTAGAATCATACTGAGCTTATAAATTAATGATTGAAGCTCATTGGGTATGAGTTATGATTGATGTGGGCATATGGAATGATGAAGGCGTGATGGCCTCGTTTATGGATATGTATTCCATCCGATGGATGAACTTCGGACATTGATTTGATTTGACGTCTAGTAGAGTCCCATTCCCCTATGACCTTGTTCTGTGCCTCTAGGGATGGTGGTAAGCAAGGACATTGGTATTAGTCTCGCCTATGATTCCTACTTGCAGTGCTTTAATGCCACTTGTTTAAGAATACTTTGAGTAATGCCGTCCGTTGAGGATTACTTTAGATGATGACTTTGATTCTCATCCCATTGCTTCAGCATGCATATGATTTGATTCCATTGGTTGGCCACTGTGCATGATTTGATTATGTCCAAGGGAGAACTACTTTATGGTTACAATTAAGATTGTGAGTGATGTGACATAGCCTTGGATAGGCTTAGATAAATTTAAATTAAAATTGATATGATACCTTGATGACTAAGGTGTGTTGTGGAGAATGACCTAAAGAGTAAGCCTAGTGATATGTATGATATTATGGAGATTCCTTAAGGATGATGATATACCTTTAACATTTGAGATGTTTACGAGAATGTTTGGTTGCACAAATACTGCATTAAATATTTATTTGTCCAATATATATGTGTTTGATTATCTATACCCCTTACTAAGTACTAGATGATTCATTCATTTGTTGGTACCATGTGCAAATACATAGGCCACAAAATTGCATGGCAATAGTCATCCATTGACAGACCAATTTTGGAATCCAGTAGGTCCCCACTTGATATGTCCACTCCACTACGTTTGTCATGAGCTTTTGTTTTGTATTTGGTTTAGATTTATATGTATGCATGTTGTGCCATTTGAACTTGTGTAAAGGTTGTTATGCACGAATCTAATTTGATGGCCAATGTATGGCCCATGCATATTATGAATAGATTATGTGCCAAGGGCCAAACTAAATGTATTTGAATTTAATTATTATATGAATATATGAGAATTTGGAAAACCCTTAGCTATGTATGTTTGGTTTGAACTCTAAGGCTTGCTTGGGTTTCACTAGCTTCACTTGTTGGACTCGTGTGTCGATCATGGACCCCTGGGCTAGGTCATGACATAATTCAGGTTAGTTTACTCATATTTGCATGAAATATTTGTCTAGTTTGTTCTAGTTTTTCCATGTAAAACAATTATTTTACTTATTTGAGTTGTTCTCATTATACTTTGTATAACATTACACTTACGGTTAAGGGTGGAGTTAGCCAATTTTTATTGAGGGGTTAAGAACAAAGGAATAAAGGTTAAAAATTTTAAAACCTATTTGTTGAACTTAACCAATAATCAAAAGATTGATAATAGAAAATAATTTTATATAACA